TTGAAAAAACATGAACATAAAGAATCCTTTATATAATAATATATGATATCTATTCATAGACCTATAAATAAGTACTCATTGGAGATGAAATTTGTCCTTTGACTTGTAATTTGAAAATAAACCACCATTTCAACTAATTAATTCTGAATATTTCTAAAACAAAATTTGGATTATGATATTATTAATTAAAGTTAACTATTAATATTATAGAGGAATTAAAAGGAAGTAATTCAATTATTTTATTGATATGAGTACTTGATTATTTTGTTGAAAAGACAAAAAAGCTTTTGGATTATTTAAAACTTAAAAAATCTAACCTAACATCTTTCATAAAAAAAAAACCATAAAGTTGGGTGACAATCCCTAGCTCTACCTGTGTGAGAGTAAGATCGATCGTACATGGCTCAATTTCAAAACAGTAAAGTCGAACAAAACACTTTACAAAATGGAAAATTAATTAATTCAACTAATAAAATTAATCACCTTTTCTTAAACAATACTTTCTTAGAAAGTGTCTATTTTTCTTTAACCATCATCATTTTTTCATGATACGTAAACAGTAATTAGGAATCAACAATTACCACACTAAAAAAAGTTAAATTTTAACAAAGGTAGATTTTATTAATATGAAATGAATTCTAGAAATTTCAAATTTAAAACAAAAACTTAAAAAAAAAAACTAAACAATACCTAAACTAAGTCATCTTAGTCTATTTACTCACTAATGTTCAAATCAAAGATCCTAACAAATTGCTTCCACCGCGAGCCTCTTCACAATATTTCCACAACTTGTTACTCCAAAAGTGTTTTCTGAAACATCAATGATTCACGATTCCTTGCCCACACATGCCTACAAAATCTCATAACGAATAAATTCATCATTTCATGCAAACCATAATCAGAAAGAACCAAATGAAAATGAATGAAAAACTTACATTATGTACAATGGACAAAACATCATTTTTGCTTTCACAACTTCCTTGTTTAAATGTGCCACATTCACCTTCTGGATTGCCAAAATTTGCAAACTTTATATCCGAAATGGGACGTCCATGGCAAGACAATTCCAAACTCTTGTTCTCGTGAGTGTTTCCACAAGCAGACCCAACAACTACGGTTTGGAAATTCACCAGAGATGGATTGCCACCAATTTCCTCAAACAAAACC